CTTCTTTTTTTAACGTTAGATTTTATTGGTATATTTTAAATGTACATAATGACATGTTCATGTACCTGTACATGATATGGTTTGCTCTCCCCCCAATTCCTGTACCCTCCCATCAATCCCTTCTCCCCTCTGCTCTTCTTTATTTGGAAGATGACTAAATTTTTCTTTGAATATTTTTAATATCTTTAAATATTTTATTAGTATATGTTTGTAGTATATAATTACACTTGTTTTGGAAATATATATATTATATATATTTATATGTATATTGTATATATGTATTTATATATGTATATGTAAAACTTCATATATCTATCTTATATTCAGAATCTCTTTCCAAGGCTGTTACAAAAACCTGAAATCTCAGCTTTGGTAATAGACATGCTATTTTAACAAAGAAAGTCTCATCAATGAGTTGTTTTAAGTTTTCTAGCATGTACCTCCAAGTCTCCACATATAGACAGTAAGATCTCTTTGAGCTTTGACATTTTAACCTGTTATAGTCACAAACATGATGTGTCGTATATGTGAAGTGGGAGATCAGCCTCACACATGGCCAGCTCAGGGCAGTGAGGTCAGACCTGGGTATCGTTCCTGTCTGGCTTATGGGGACGTTCTTGCTGTGTTCACAGGAGTGTACCTAACCTTTCTGGGACTTGCCTGGCTTCGAAAGACTGCCTCATTATATCTAGGGCCAAGTTAGGAATTGGAGAAGGGCTGCCAGCCTAAAAATAGTCATGGCTTGCAAAGAGGACCCGAATGGCACAGATCCACACAGCCTTCTGCTACCAGAGGACAGTCACGGAGAAGGGAAGGGTGGCCATGAGGGGAGGGTGAATTGTTCAGAGGGGTGTGAGGGCTGAGTGTTTTCTTTCTGACTTGTGTAGGGGGAGTAATGGTTTAATGACCAACTTTTAAAAAATTTAAAATAGTAAATATTGGGGTTAGTTTTTATAAATCTGGGCCACTGAATATATTTCTAGATGATTCTAATTTGCACGAAACTCTTTAATATGTAATGTTGATGACAGTCAGGAATTGAAACAGTAACATGCCTTGTTTCCTGTATACTGTCTTGAAACACAAAGTAAAGCAGTGTTTTAGAACTTACAGACAATAGGCCATTTTAACAAAGGCCTGTATGTTTAAAGCTAGCAGGTTATGGAAGAAACATTTAACATTCTTGCTGGAAACTGTTTGGATACAATATGGTACAGAATTTTTGTTGGAGTCAAATGGGCTGGAAGACTTCAAGTCATAAAGATTAAACCTGGTCAAAAGGCTAAAAGCAGCACCCATTTCCTCATAGCTTTCCAAGGACAATTGTAGAGCTCTGATTAGATAAGAGCAGGAAAGTACAATATTCTTTTGGAACTCCTTCACTTAGCAGTGAGCAGGCCCTGATTTTTCAGAGATTCAGCCATGGCGTCATTGCATCTCATGGCTGGCTGTTAAGTTTGGGCAGAGTGATACGATTTGAGAGTGGCAACAAGACCCCACGTTTCTTGTCACCTTTACACAGAGGTTAATCTGTTGCTAATTACTGTTTGCATTAGTCAGCTTTGTACCACTATAATGAAATACCCCAATTAATTTAGAGATTTGTTTTGGCTCATAGTTGTGGAAGTTCAGTCTGAGATTAGGTGGCCCCATTACCTTGGTCCTCTGGCAAGGGTGAGACATAGCAGGAGTGTGTCTGTGGAATAGTCTGGTTATATCATGAACCAGAAGCAAAGAGAAAGAGCAAACAAGCAGGGTCCCACAGTCCTCTTTGGGGGCACACCCCACAGTGACCAAGGACCTGTCACCTCCCAAAAGTGCACAGCAACTCCATCTTGTGTCCTTTGGGGGACACACATTTAAACATAATACTATGGTAGATCAATGGGTTCCTTTTTTATAGTAGCATGTTGAGAAGCTATAGATCATTTTACTTGCTAAAAGGAGATGATGCTGCATGGAGGTAAGGGAACTGATTTTCCCTGTTGGAGAGAGACAGTGGTGGCTTGAGCTAGGGGACAGTAGTGAAGGTGAGAAATGTTGCCGTTGGGATGCATTTTCAAAGGGATGCCTATTGGAATTTCTACTGGGGTGAAAGGGAAAGAGGTGAGTTAAGGGTGACCCCTGGGTTTTCCATCTGATCCACCTAGCTGCCCAGCAGTGCCTTTTGCTGAAAGTGAGAAATGTGAGAGAGTGTATGGAAAAAAAGATTTGAGTGCAGAGGAGAAAGGGAACCAGGGGCCAAGCCCGCCTCACCCTCGGCGCTCAGACGTTGGGTGGAGAAGAATCCCAGAGGCATTTACCATGGAGAGAAGGTCTGAGTTCTGGAGTGAATCTCAGGAAGGAGTAGAGCTTCTGAAGCCAAGTTTAGAGATAGATGCCCTTGAGTTTGATCCCCAGAACGTGAAGAGTTTTGCTTATCAATCACAGAACATTCTGGATAACATTTTGGTCCGTTTGTCTGTATAATCATTTAGAATCGTTGATGAGCTGCAGGAAACCTTGATAAATAAGTCATGGTAAATTCCACCAAAAGGAGTACAACAGAGTATCTTGGTCACCTTGTTGTGACTGTGACCAAAGTACCTGATGGGCATAACTTCAAAGAGGAAAGGTTTGTTTTGCCTCATGCTTTCGAGCTTCTGTTGGTGATGGGCTGGCACCATGGCAGGAGCATTGTGGTGGAGGCTGTGGTGGGCAAAGGCTGCTGGCTTGTGGCAGCCTGGAAGAGAGTGCTGGGAAAGCCTGGGAGGAAGAAGGTGGGGACCAGACGGAGTCCCAGAGATCACCCCTGAATGACCCCGCCCAGGCACGGCTGGGGCGGGCCTGCTTATTAGTAGGCAGCTTTCAGTTTAATCAGGTTCACGGTGGAGATTAACATCACACAAGCCTTTAAAAAATACCACAACATGAGCTGTAGTTATCCTTAGGTCTACCTCATTTGAAGGAAATAGGTATATACTGGTTAATAATTTTTCACAACTAACAATGGATGGATGAATCATTATACTCTAAAGATTTCTAAAATCCAAACACTTCCTTTCAGCTCCAGATACTGTCTGTAAGGTTAGCTTTTACAAGGATTTTTCTTTTGGAGGCTTCATTCTGTATCATACCAAAATATTAAAATATAACCACTTCTTATATTTAAACAGTTGAGTTGATGTTAGCTGTTGACATAATGGTATATTGGGAAACCTTAACCTGCTACTTTATACCTCAAGTCTAAACTAAAACTAGTGACTTTCAGAGATGCCTTCCCTGACCCCAACTCCTAGAAAGTGAGCAGTGTTTGTACTTGTATGTATTAACTACAATGTGTATAGCTATGCTTATTTTTTTCTGCTTAATTTTATAGTAACTCTTTGTGATGTGTCTGATATAAAGTGGATTCTTGATAGATTTGCTAGACAGTATTAGAAAATTAATTCTGAGCTGGGCGTGGTGGCTCACACCTGTAATCCCAGCACTCAGGAGGCTGAGGCAGGAGGATCGTTGTGAGTTCGGGACTAGCCTGGGCTACAAAGTGAGCTCAAGGCCAGCCTGAACTGCATGGCGAGACCCTGTCTCAAAAAGACAAAAAAAAAAAAAAAAGATTCTTAGAGATACCTTAATATTAATAGCTTTGGCTTGGTTTCCAAGCTCAGTGTCTCCTTTATTGAAATACAATTTACATATATCAAAATTTGTCCCTTTTTCATATATAACATAATTCATTGAGTTTTGACAATCACATATAGGTGTATAACTGCCAACAACAAAGAAGAGAAATTCCTGTCATACCAAAAAGTTTTCTTGTGCTTTCAATCATCTTCTCCTGTTCCCAAGAAGACATTAATCTTGTTCCTTTAGTTATGCCTTTCTGGAATATTGTATAGAGTTACCTACTATGTTTGTCTTTTTTATCTTTCATTTAGTATGTGTATTTGAGATACATGGGATCAGTTGTTTACCTTCTGGTTGCCGGGTGGTATTTCATTATATGGATTATTCTTTTTTCTTTTAGCATATCTGCCAGTAATGGACATTTGAGCTACTTCTAGCTTTCAGTAATTAGATTTTTCTTCCTAGTTATGATTAATAACAGACAAGAAATTAAAACAGCATTGATAACCCACTGTTCCCTATCCCCATCCCCATCTGCTTCTATTACTTTTTTTCAAAAAGTATTTTACATGAATATAACCATAAAACACAAATATTTTTCTTAGTTATTTGGTAAATTGCATAGTTTTTGGTGATTGTACTATATTTCATTGAGTTACTGTGTTATAATTTTCTAACTCTTTTTTGTTGATATTTAAATTGTTTCTCAGCCTTTACAGTTGTAGAGAATATGCTAAAAATTGTGATTTTTGCTATTGTTTGTTTTTGAGGTAGAATCTCACTAGTTCGGGCTGGCCTTGAACTCACTGCTGGTAGGTAGCCCAGGCTGACCTTGAACTTGCTGTGCTCCTCCTGCCTTAGCTTCCCAAGTGCTAGGATTACAGGCCTGTGCCACCACACTCAGTTTAAAAATCCTGTCTTAAAATATTCTGTTTTTGTAATAAAGTTTTGGCAATGATTTAAGGCTTGATAGGTAGGGCTGAGGATTTAGCTCAGCAGCAAAAGTGCCTGCCTTGCAAGTGCAAGGTTGTGAGTTCAGTCCCAGGTACAAAAATCAAAACAAAGCAGGACCAAACTGAAACAAGAAAGGACTTGATAGGTAATCTCAGCATTGCATAGGATAAGGCAGGAGGATCACAAATTCAAGGTCTTCTTAACTACCGAGTAAATCCCAGGACTCTGTCTCAGAAAGCAAAACAAAAACTTTGATTGAAAGTAATAGAAATCTGTTCAAGGGAATGGAACAAAATATGGAACAGTATTATACAGGTCCAGAGTAGTCATCAGAGTTTGGTGTCTGCAGACTGTCAGGAGCTAGCTCAGTTACCAGTCACCTTGTCCTGTCCTTTATTTCTACCTCCTTTGGTAAATCAGTCTCTTCCTTCTCTCGGTAGAGACCTGCTTGCCCTCTTCTGGTGCACAGAGCCTGGATTTATATGTGCTTCAGTTCCAGGCAGTTCCAGGACACAGTGTGCCTGACCAGCTGCTTCAGAGCCAAATGCTGGCAAAAGAGAATCTGATTCCATCTGAGGTAGGCATCTGTGCCAGGGTTTGTAGATCGGAGTTTACCTCAGCGAGTAGAAGGGTCTGTTCTCGGGGACAGGGGTGTATGCTGACCTGAACCCACACTCAAAGCTTTCCACTTAAAGGAGGATAACATAAAATGACATAAAACCCAATTATTTTCCAGAAGAGTGGGGTTTTTTTTGACATGGAGTCTTGCTATGTTGCACAGCAATTTGACCTCAAACTGCAGGGCTCAGGTAATCCTCCTGCCTTAACCTCTTGAGAAATTGAGACTATAGGTGTGTGCAGCACCTTACCCCACTATAATTAGGTTTTAGAAGAGGAGTGAGTCAGGGGAGTATTTACACGTCTATTTCTTTGTATTTAGGTACTGGAAAAGTTTTTTACTTCTTCACTGTGCTCTGTCACCCATGAGTGACATTTAATGGATAGCTATGGGAATCTAATTTACATTCAGTGTTTTGAGTTTTCCAACAAACTATATGATAGCTCCTTCCTTCAGAACCACGTAACCTGCCTGCGGCTTAATTACCCTGCACAAAGAACCCTTCATTGAATGGAACCCTTGAACAGAAATGTTCTGTGCAGATATAGTTGCATCGTCCTTTGACAATGAGATTAACAGTGAATGCTTTGGGACTTACTAGGCACCTTGATTTTACTCTAAAATGCCTACCCAAAATCTGCTCCTACATTGTGACTCACTGTTGTGTGTGTTGTGGTCACTTTGATTTTTAGGCCCTGGAGTCACCTGGGTTGGCTGCGTTCTTTCACCTGAACCTACACTTGAGTTCCACCTGAGCTCCCCCAGGACTTTCTGTGGACTGTGGATCTAGATGTTCCTTTTGGTAGTTTCCAAAATCTAACCAGCGATGTCTAAGAAAATCTTAGTTACCAAGCTTTCCCTGGGCCCCATGAAAGTTTACTCCTCTCTGAAGTCATTAGTTTGTTTTATGAGTCTTTTAGTGATTTTAAGAACAAAACTTGAAAATCTAAGGAACCTATCCTCCTGTGCAAATGGATTCTTGCTACGTGACTGTCCGGCTGAGAGAAGCTTCTAGCTGGCAGTGGTACAGTGCCACAGTAGTCAGTAGTGATGAGGAGTAGCCGAGGTTTCAGGTGTGCATCTTTGTCGCCTGCGCTTTGAGATACTGCAGATCCAACCTACGAGTGCTCTACTACTGAGTTTGTGGATGTGATATTTGAGACCTAAAATACTATTAATGAAGCAGACTAAAGTTCCAGGATGGGGGGTACAGTATTTTCACTTGTTCTGTAGATTGGGAAAATTGGTGTGTGAAGTCATTATTAGTTGTGGCTCTTAATTTTGCTGTGTTACCCACCTATGAATGATGTTTATTGAGTGCTTAGATCCCTGAGTGGGTCCCCCAGCTCTAATTCTACATCATGTGTTTTGGATCCCAGTCTCTACTCTGGGAATCCTAGCCAATCCATTTCTGTGGAGTTGGGTCAAAGCTATTTGTCATAAACAGAAGTAATTGAGGCAAATGAGACATCACGGATTTCTCCCTGGGTGGGCCCTGCCTGGTTTTGATCTTTCATTCACATGTAGTTTGCCCTTGTTATAGGAAGACCACTAATGCAGAAACCAGGTCCCTAACTTGCTTCAAAAAATCTCTGCACCTTTCCAGGCCATCTCTAATGACAGTGTGGCCAGTGGACTCATGAAGGTTTGCATCCCACACTGAGGTTTGCTCTTGGGACACTATAAAACAGTTTAGATGTTTGGTTCAGAGCTCAGTGGTAAAACATTTTCCTGGCACCCAACACCCTGAGTTCAACTTTCAGTACTAGTGTGTGTGTGTGTGTGTGTGTGTGTGTGTGTGTTGGGCAGGGGAAGCAGAGCATTCAGAGACATTACCTTTTCCCTAAGATTTTGTTCCTGATCTTCTTTTCACCATATATCTTGTGAAGAGAAACTAATAATTACTAAGCCTGATTAAACTCCTCAAACCCATGTAGGCAGAGGAGTGGGGTTCAGTATGTATACATATTTTGCACAGATTTAGAACTAGAAGGATAATGTTGTTCTCAGCAGATTTTTTTAAATGAACTTATCTTTGGCAATGTAATCTCTTTTTGATGCTCTAATATAGATAGTTTTGTTATGTAATTCCCAAGCAGTTTCCCTGCCAGAACTTTCTCAAGGGCACTCTTGTTCATTTTGTTTGTCTGCTTTTTATCGCTTTGAGCTTCTTTGTGATGAATCACAGGTGGCTGTGCAGTTTCAGAAGTTGGAAGAACTACTTTGGTTATTTACGCAGCAGTGGTCTGAACTGTTTTTGCTTAGTGGCTAGATCTTCTCTATCATTGAGTGATAGTGAATTATGAAAAAAAGGTTGAACGTACTGTGTCCAGTTTTTGTCCTAGTTTCTCTATGGATAAAAATTTAATCTGCTTTGTGTGACCCAGGAGAGTACTGAATGTACTGGATTCATATCTTAATTGACATCAAGGATTGTAGCCAAAAGTGTTTTCTTAGTATGACATCAGTACAGATGAAGTTGGCCTCTTCTCCTGGGAAGCAAGTCTAGGTAATTTAGTTTTAGCAGATATAACATGGCAGTCATAATTATGAATCCCTTTATCTAAATCCTCTGTTACAGTCAGTGTGGGATTATATCACAGTAGAGAGTCAGGTTTGGACAAGTGAAACTTTCACTCCTGTTTTTACCTGTAGCTTTTGATATGGACCATCTTTAGACTTTTTTCTTTAGATGTTTTGTTTTGGAGGCTTGTGTCTAGTTTGTAGATTTCCTTGGAATGTATATGATGTTCTTTGCTCAGGATTAGTGTAGGGATTCATGCCATTTCCCCAAAAGAATTATATATGGAGAGTTAAGGAGGATAAAAATTGGGGTTTTATCATAAATGCACTGTTAAATTTTGTTTTCTGTCATAGTTTTGTGAATCCAGATGATGGTGAACCAAAGAGGAGGAGGGAGATTATTTCAATCCTGATTCTGTCTCTGAATAGTTTTGTAAAGTTTTGTAAAGTTTGTAAAGTGGTGCTCACTTGGAGTTCCAGCTTCTCAGGAGGCTGAGGCAGGTATCTGACAACTTTTAGGTCAGCCTGGGCCACACAGTGATACTGTGTCTCAACAAAAAAATAAAACCTAGATAATTGTGCAGACATGAAAGCTATCAGGTTGGCTGCATTGCATAATGCTCAGGGCACCATCATCTTTGATATGAGTATGGTTTGTGAAAGGTGACTTCCCGAGTTAATGCAGCCTCCTCTGTGAAGCTTTGTCTTCTTCAGACCTGTTTTCTCATACAAAATGTGTAGACTGGATTAAATGAACTCATGTAGTCTGAACCCTGGAGGATGATTCATCAGTGTTAGTCATCCTCTGTTCCATGAGTGGGCCTTGCAGGATGGTAGAATTAGCTTTATTATGGTAGTATTCATTTCCAGCGTGTTTCTGTGTTTTAGTGTTTGTCTTCATGTGTAGACTTCTGCCTTCGAGACTCTTGGCATAAATTTCAAGTGTCTGAAACACACAGTCTGTTTTTGGACGTTGAAAGACAGCATCGACTGTGTTGTAAAGTAACAGCTTTGACAGCAGTTATTCATGTTGCAAAAAGCAGGATGCTCGCCCATAGTGCTGAGTAGATCTTTTAATTTCAGTCTCTTTGATCAGAAAAGCACACTTACATTGAATGTTTTATTCCACTGGAATATGAACATGTTTTTCATATTTTGATGTTTAAATAAAATTCTGAAGGCAGTAGAAATGTATAAAAATCCCTCTGCCTCCTTCCTCCCTCGAGGTGAGAACCATTGAGAGTGGTACAGTACATACTTTTCTTCCTTTTTCTTGTGTGTTTTATATTATTTGTTACTGAGACTAGTTGGAAATATAACTTCCTGAATTTAAGGACATGAAACTCTTTATTTGTATAGAAAAATAAAAGTTGTGGGCAGATTCATAAAGATTCTAAGTTCCAGCTGTGGTATATAGATCCTTAATATTTTTCTTTCAAAGTGTTTTCTTTTTAATTGTCCAAGTCATTGCAGTATTCTGGTTTCTTTAATTCAGAAGCAGTCATCTGGCACCAGTGATTGCTGATACAGTCTGACAAGCAAAGTCCCTCCAGTTTTCAGAGAATCTGGATAGAGAAGTAAGTTGCTTGCTTTTATACAGTTTGCCATTTTCATTTTGCTCTGAGCTCTACTGTAAGTGCTTTACAGTGTAACCAAGAAATGTCTGGATACCCTTTACTCCTATAAAAGCTTGGCAAAGTCTACAATGTTTCACTGCCAGAGAATCTAAGAAAAATTCTTTAGAGGGAAAGAAGTAATTTCACTCAGCTCTATTACTGCTGCAAGGCTGAGCTGGTCTTTGAGTGACTGGTCTCGGGAGAGGTTCATGCTGAGGTCCCTGGTGTTTGGATTTCTTTCTGTCTGGCTATAGTGTCTGCATTGTGGCATGAAAAAACAGTATCATAGGTGCAGCCAAAAGTCTGTCTTTTTTTTGTTTTGTTTTGTTTTGAAAAATAATTTGAATAAGACATCACTTTAAGCTCTGAATGCTGGTAGGATGAGGAACGTGAGTAAGCTGGGTAAAGTAGATTTTTGGTATTTGCATTACGCAGAAGCGCTGGAGTTAAGTTTTAAGTGATACTTAGTTATCTGGTCAGTTGCGCATTACGATTCCGGCTATAGTGGTGTGCGAATGTTGGTGCACACACGAGTGGACAAAGGCAATGAGGGAGCAAAGGAGGGCAAGACTGAAGAGACCAGGATTGTCCAGTGTTAAGACTTAAAGTGCTGCAGACATGAGTTTAATTTGGCAGTTGGGCTTTCATGTTATCTTAGCTGCTAGAGATGAGGGTTAGGGGAGCACAGCTTCGTTATTGACAGTGTTTTGAGATATGTTCAAAGAATGTAGAATGTTCTAAAGAGTAGTTATTTGAAAAAAGCCAATGGTAAAACATTTTACTTAGTAAGATTACTAAGTAAGTAAGATTACTAAGTAAGATTCCTAAGCTCTTAGGAATGCAGATTTTAAAAGTTTGTGAATGTGTGGGGTCTTCCTTATCCTGGTTTGAAAGTTTTAGAACGTTCTTGAGCCAGAATATTTTGGGGGGCTGGAGATTTAGCTCAGCGGCATAAGCGTCTGCCTTGCAAGCAGGCAGTCGTGAGTTCGATCCCTGGTACCGATAAAAAAAAAAAAAAAAAAAAGGAAAAAGACAGAATATTTTGGAATAAAAGCACATTTTTGGAATGAACTACAGGAATAAGAATTCTTAAACAGCAGTGGGCTAGTTAACTGACTTTCTGTTGATTCTGCATACTTAAAGCTTTTTATCAGTTGTAGTGTCCTTGGCGTAGTCTGCCAGGTGTCTTCCCAGCCTCCTCTAAGCCCAGGTCCCAGGAAGGCTTTTAGCTGCACACTGCTCACCAGGAGGACTGCCTTCACGGAAGTGGATCAGGTGTCAGCTTTCCATGCTCCGTGCTCATTACATTGTAACAAAAGGTTGAAAATCCTTACTCATGTGGCTTTAACAGTATCATTGAATTGTTAATCTCTACTAGTGTAAAGACCGTTGTTTTCCTTTGGATACTGCTTTTATATTTTAGCCATGTTTTACGTTTGCTTTAGAGGACTTTGCTGTGTTATCTATCACCAATCCCTATTTTTTTTTTTTTTTCTTTCTGTGTTTCATTTTTGTTTCCAGACAAGGTTTTCCTAAATTGCTCAGACTGGCCCTGAAGTCATGATCCTTCTGCCTCATTTTCCCAAGTAGCACCATGCCCAGCAAAACAATTTTTAAAAAATGACAACTGGGGTTGGAATGCAGGGCCTTGCAAGATTTTAGGCAAGTTCTCCACCACCGAGCTACAGAGCAGTCATCTCTCTACTTTTAAAATACTTGATCATATTTGATTAATCCTATAAAAATACTGAATTACTAAAATATAAGACCTTAATGATAAATACAAACTTAATCACTATGTGATATTGAGGGTGGGTGGAGGCGGAGGGATATAGTGTTATGAGGTAGACTTTTGTTTTCTGTTTTGCTGTGGCATAAACAGTTTCTACCTTAGCATTCTTTGTAAAGCAGTATTTTCTTTAAAAATTCTTTTTGAAAATAGGAGTCAAGGTCTCACTGTGTTCCTCACTCATGATTCTCCTGCCCCCCCCCCCAAACTAAAAGTTCGTAAATTAGGGTTTTACAAAGTGAATTGTTTTTCCTCGAATACTTAAACCGGATCTGTATTTATGTTTTCATACATTATTCATTTTAACCTAGATCTCTTGTTCATTCGTGGAGCCTCCTCTATTTGTTAGGAGAGCACAGCTTTCAGTTCCTAAACTCATGTAGTAGTATATTTAAAGAAAAGAAAAAACATAAAATTCTTCTAGTTTATACTAAAAACTTAAATCTTTTTTGTATCTAGCTAAACTGTGATACATTATTCATGCAGCTCTCTAACACTATCTGGTGTGACTCCCTTCTTTAAATATTAATACAAGTGAAGTAGACCTTTGAAATGTTTAATTGAACAGATATTTATTGGGCACTTAGTATGTATCATGCTTTCCGCTGCTCTGTGCAGATAACAGCAGTCAGCCTTGTAAGTCCCTCTGACATTTTGCCTCCATTCCCTTCCTCTGTCACCAGACTGGGTCCAAGGAGTCCCAACAAAGAGCAGGTAGGGCCCTCGACTCAGTCCACCAAGGCGGTTCTTGACAAGCCACAGAAAAGAATTTTGGGATGTGTCAGTTGAGAGACATGGGAAAGTGTTATTAGGGACAATTAAAGAAGAACGTACTTGGAGAAAATAGAGCGTGGGGCCCTCGAGGATATGGTTGGGGATCTATCTGTGTTCGTGAAGGTACGATTTTTCAGATGAGTGATCTCAGATGTTTTGCCTTAAACATGCTTTGAACCATTTGAATCTGGTTTTTGTTGTTGTTTTTTAAATCTTAAGGTCAGGTTTCTGCCCTTTATCACTGGAGTTAATTTATGGACTTCCAGTGTCCTTAAGGGATTTAAGAGGATGGGCCTGGAAGAAAACAAACAATTAAGCCTATGGCATAAAAGATATGGAACACAGATATAGATAACATGGATAACTTAGTGTCCTCAAGTTGCAGTCTTTTTAAAAGTAGTTTTAGAATTATTTTCATGGTGTCTGTTCTACCTATCTTTATTTCTTCTATCTCATCACCGCCACTATTTTTAAAGTTTGTATCCATCCCAGCAATTTCCTGCTACGTCTCCCCTCCCGAGGCTGGAGCACCTTCCTCACCTCAGCTGAGCCAGGCATCCCTGTCCACCGTCACAGCTGGCGGGTGGACTCACACAGCACACGGAACACGATCCAGACGTAGCCAGCAGACTGCTGTCCCTCACCCCGCCACGAGAGTGGAGCTTATGACTCTAGAAATTCCAGTCTCTTGGAATTCCTCTGGCTGCACTGCTGCACTCTCCATTTCTAGAGTCTTGTGTATTTTCTTCTGATTTCCCTCCGCAAACTTTAGGATCCCCTCATTTGTGGTCTGTGGTAGGTGGATCTTTCCTCTAGCAAGGGATAGCTTGCTGCTATCCTTTAAACTTTCTGCAGCAGCTCAAAAACGTAACCATGCCAAGTACATGATACACATCAAATACCTGTGTCAAATAGTATCCTTAACTAGATTCATTCTGATGCAATATTTCCAGTCCACAATTTTGATTGATTACAGATTGTAGTTCAAGATTCAAAAGCACAACAACCGCTTGTTACACTTACGGAGTGAACATTCAAGGGATTTTATTTAGAGAAAAGCAAAGCCAGACTGAAAATAAACTTGACTATTTTTTGTTAGAAGAAACTTAATTCAGTCTGGGGATATAAGTTGGTGGTAGAATATTTGCCTGGTATGTGCAAGACCCTGGGTTCAAACCCCAACATCACCACTGCCACCATGGCCACCACCAAAAGAAAAGCAGCCTCTGTGCAGCAGAATGGTTCAAAAATGATCCATGCACTTCTTCAGGGTGTAGAAGTCCAAGTTCTTCATCATCGTTGTCCTAACTTAGGCCTGAAAGACCTTCTCTTTCAAAGATCTTGTCCCCTGGCCCTGGCAGGGCACCTTCAAAATAGGGTGGGTTTGCTTCATCTCCAGGATTCTAGGAAACCTCCACTGAAATGGACATAGCCATGGGGCCGTGGGTATGAAACTCTTATTAGTGAACTGTTCAATGGAGTAGAGCATTGAGAGAGGTGAATGGCAGAGACAACTTTTTGTCCCTTGGTTCTCATTCTCCCCCTTCTATGGTGATGGAATTTTTAGCTGGGTACCAGGAGCTGCTCATACTGGCACTCGCTTCCCAGCTTCCGTTTAGGCGAGGGCGGCCGTGTGATTAAGCTGTGGCTGCTGGAGGTGCTGGTAGTGTTTTTAAAGGGAGTTACTGTGCTTGTTGCTTCTTTACTCTTTCCTGTTTAGTGAAACACAGATGGTGCTATTTTGGGCCACAGATTAAGGTCATGCATGGCAGAGGAATGTGAAAGGTGAGGCCTGAGTCCTTGATAGCTAGCTGGGGCCTTTAGTCCTACACAGCCTATGCAAGAGACAGAGATAAATGTTTGTCTTGTCTTTTGCCAGTCATTCAGGAATTTTCTGTCACATAATTAATTAGACTTTGAGTCTGAGTTCGGTAGTAAGCTTTGTACAGGATGCATCTAGATCAACAGCTTTAAGCGTTGAGCTTTGTTCTAATGAATTATCCTTTTAAAAATATCTTTTCAGTGCTGGGGTTATAGAGTGGTTGCTTAACATGTTTGAGGCTCTGTGTTTGAGTCCCAGCACCCTCCTCCCACCAACTCTATATTATGTATTTAAAAAATTTTTTTAAATTAAAAAAAATTTTTAACATCAAGTACATTATTGAAAAACAAAATTATGAAATATCTTCATGTCTTTCGTTAAGAAATTAAAAATAAAAGAATAAAACCAAAAATGAATAGAAGAAAATAAGATAACATAATCCCTTATAAAAATGTCAACATCATTTTTTATAAAGATTAAAATTTTGATTCTTATATTTCTGTAGAAATAGAAAAGACTCAGAATAGTCTAATCAACTTTGATAAAGGAACAAAATTAAAGCTCCAACCCTTCCCAATCCTATGACTTATCACAAAGTCACACCAATCATGACAACATCTCATTGACATCAAGTTTGACAAACCACCAGGATGCCAATATGAAGTCCCACAATGGACACACATGTAACAGACAACTGATTTTGGCAAAGATGCAAAAGCAAGTAAGTGGAGAAAGGATTGTACCTTTAATAATACACTGGAACAAATGGATATCCACATGCAAAAAACCCAAAATTTATAGCACATCAAAAATTTCTTAAGACATCCAAAAGTCAACTCAAAATGGCTCACAGTGGGTTAAAGTAAAGGTAGGTGTGGCCTGAGTCATTGCTTTGGCTGAAGTCATTCTCTGTGGGACAAAATACATGTTTTTTCTTTCAGCTTGTCATACTAATGAAACACAATGTTTATACATGTGAAATATATTCACTAGTATATTCTCAAGGCACATCCATTTACCTATTAAAATGTCCAGTTTATCATTCTTTATGGCTGAGTAGTACTCCATTATATAGACATACCACATCTTTCTTATCCATTCCTCAGTTGATGAGTGTTTAGGTTGTTCACAAGATCTGGATATTATAAACTGTGCTGCTATAAACACAAATGCACATATATCACTGTGGTATGATGTTTTTAATTCTGTTGGGAAGATACCCAGAAAGGAAATAGCTGGGTTGAATGGGACCTCCACTCCTAGTTTTTTGAGGAATCTCCACATTGATTTCCACAGTAGATGAACCAGTTTCCACTCTCACCAACAGTGGAGAATGGTTCCTTTTTCCCCACAGCTCCTCCAGCAGTGTGTAGGATAGATGACCATGTTACTAAGTTTCCATTAGATCAGTGAACACAGTGGTCTTCACTGTCAATGTTTGAGTGTCCACTTTTTTTTTTTTTACAGTGAAATTGGTACAGAACTTCACAACAGGTTACCGGGATGACAGTAATAGGTATCACAGTATATTTTGTTATCTTTGTAATAGTTCTTTTATTCACGTATATCAAATTGAGATGAAATATAGAACACTATAGAACTTATCAAAACAGAATATTGAATAGAGCAGTACCATTAATCAGAAAAGAGCAAAACAGTAATAAAAATATTTGCCTTCAAAGAGATGGTAGAAGGTAGTCCCCCTTATTTGCTATGGTCAACCTCCCAGGAGATGCTCAGATTTCTGGTTCCCATTTGCTAATGGGCAGTGGGGGCGGGGAAGGGGGGTAGGAAAAGTGGGATATGTGACTCTATGCCGTGCATCAGTAGGTTCACTATTGCTTAGCAGGGAGGCAGGCTGGTTTCACAGCGTCCTAAGTTCCAACATGGTGTGGATCTCAGGAGCTGCTGGTTCTCCCCCTGGAAGGGCCGCAGTCTGCCACACTGCCACCGATTACCAGGGAGGGGAGGTGCTTGCTTCGAGTGTCCACTTTTTATGCTTTGATTTTGTAACTTGAACAACTATTTCTAAGAAGACACTTAACTTATCAACTTGTAATTGTAACTTATCAACTAGTAATTTCATAGTGTTAAAATTTTTCTTTGAAATTCTGTATTCTATCCTTTTTTCTGTTTTGTCTTGTTTTTCTTTAAATAAAAACAGTTTGCATGCTATATTATTTCTAAGGCAACATTTTTTGATAATCTACAGAGTTAGGAAGGTGGTGCAGCATGAATACTGGCTCAAAACCAGTGGGTTGCAGTAGCCAGCCGAGAGGGGGATTGCCTGGAGCAGTAGCTGAGTCACTGGTTGTGGATTCAGAAAGACCCTGCTGGGTGATCGCAGCCTGAATTTCTTGATTTCTGCATGAAGTCCTTTTTTGTGTCACGTTTGGCTTTTGTTGTGGCTCAAGATTGGAAAAACTAAGCTGTTTGCAGTTTCAAAAGGGAGTCAAGGGCTGGGAATACAGCTTAGTGGTAGAGTACTTGCTGCCGAGCATGCGTGAGGCTCTAGATTTAATTCCCAGCATGAAGAAAACAAAACAAAATGAGAGCCAGCATAGGGGCTTCACTTGGTAGAGTGACTATAAATGGAAAGAGAAAATAGGATGGAGATTAGTAGTTCAGCATCCTAATTCCTTTGTTTTCTGTGGGGTGGTGGTGATGGCAGTGATAACAGGGGTTGAATCCAGTGGTCTCATCAAATTCCCAGACTGGTTCTGACTTGGAATCCTACTTGGCCTCCCAGGCCTTTTGCGATTGACGTGGAAGCCATGTTACACTCAGAATTTGTGCATTTTCCTTGCACCTAAAATCAGTGCCACGTGGATGCCACCAAGGTTTGCTGTTAGCTGGAGCAGTAGCCAGGCCTTTTGCTCTCTTGGCTGTAGGCTCAGGTGTCTGGGTCACTGGGCTCTGTGAACCTGATTGTGAGGAAAATTTGTCACTTTATGTCACCACTGTAATGGAAGCTGGTGTGGCTGCCGCCATTTTGGGAGCTCATGTGGCCTCTGTCGTCATTCTGAAGCACGGTGTTCTACAGCTTTCTCCTCTGAGCAGGCTTTCACTTTTGCAGTTTTGAGGCTGCAAAGGATGGAGACCTGTTGCTTCCTGGGATGCCCTCTGGTCATCTTTTTTCTCTGTTCCTTCTCAGCAATTGAAGTCTCAGGTCTAGCTTTACAATCCACAATTTTTTTGGAGTTTTCCTTATGGCCAAACTCACAGCGTTTTAAATTATCCTGCTGGACTCTGCGCTTGATTTGCAACATAAATGTGACTAGAAGTCCCCAACAATAGCCATGCCACTGACTGTAAATTCAACTGCCTTGAAATTTCCTTTGCCAGATTAATCAGTCCTCTGCCCTTAATGTCAGTCTCAGGCAAAGTCTCTGGACAGGAGCAAAATGTAGACAAACTTTCTGCCAAACTGTAACACACATGGTCTGGAGTCCAACAACCAATGCAGTCCTTTCCACAGAACCCTCCTGAACCTGGTTTTTACTGGCAGGCTTTTTATCAGCCTTCTGGCTTCCTGAGCTCTGACCAGAATCCCCTCTACAGAACAGCCTAAGCTATTCTAGCTCTATGCATGTAGACAATATCTCCAAACCTTTCCAAACACTGCCACAAGCCTTTTCCAAAGAGTCTCAAACTACATAGTCACACCAATGACTCCAATCCATTGGTACTAAATTCTTAGTTACATCATATCCTGGCTCTACCCCTAAGTGGGTGGAGCACTCACACCACCAATCCAAGTGCTAGATAACAGACCAATCACAAATGCATAATTGCATGAGGCTTGGGGGCCACTGACATCAACCATGACAGCATGCTTAAAAATTCCTTTAGTCACAGTTTTTTGTTTTTTTTGAGATGAAGTTTTACTCTTTTGCCCAGGCTGGCTCCAAATTCCTGGGTACTGAGTATTCTCCAAACCAGACTACTGAGGTTTTCCACCTCCTAGCTGGGTAAGTATGGCATATACTATCTCTGTGCTACAGCATCCTCATGTATAATCTGGATCTAGCACTTTATACCTCAGAGGAGTTGGTAGATTATTTGAGAATTCATAGCACATTGAATACTTGGTTTGCATAGTCATATATTGGCTATTACTAATTATTATAATCTTTTTATCTAGAAAGTTATAGTAACATGCAGTTGAGGCCTCCATAGTAGTTTAGATGAGTTTCAAGTGAATAGATTCTGTTCAAATGGAATCTAAGTAGGAACTTGGCCTTTTGACTTAACTAGATTTATACCCATTAAACTTATAAATTGAGATGCTAAAACATATTCTTACAAATGCCATAAGTCTAAGGACCTGGTTTTCTTTTGACTTAAACTCCATAGGAAACCAAGACCTCACGATTCACATCAATTAGAATTCATCCCTAAGCCAGAAATGGTACCTTTCCTACATCACATGGGACAGTGTGGACATCTGTACAGACTTAGGTTTCTGTTAGCAGGGAAGAAGGATGGATTGACTAATGAATTGCTCAGCATCTGCTCGTGTCTGACATAAGATTCAGAATTACAAAACCTTAGCTACACAGGGCATAGGAAAGGCTGGAAAAGCAGGAAGAGAGTGGTGGCTTTTGGGATGGGCCCGAAAGGGAAAGTTAGGCTTTCCCTTTTGTCAGTGTCTAATCAAGGATGGTGGTTAAGTTGGTGTATAGAGTGTACTCAGTGTGGTTCTTTGCAGACATTTAATTACTCATGAGTTGCCAAGTTTCTGTTCTTGCCTTATAACTGCATTGTACTGATAAGATTTGTTTTTGCTAATAGTGTGTACTTTCTGTTTTTTATCTTAAGATCTTTGGACAGCTGTGCCAAATTTGAACTTGTTAACAAAAATTCACCGAGTGTGTGTCAGTGTTAACT